AGGTTCTGCATTGAGGTGTCAATGTTGATGGGCAGTCGGCGAGGTCCTGCACCATAGTGCAACTGCAAGAGGAGGAAAAACAGAACCCTGACAATCTGAGGCCGTCATTACACACAAACACACACACCCACACACAGCGGGAGCGACACACACACACACACGACACACACACACACACAACAGAATGATTACACGAAAAAATAACCAGAAAAACACACTGTACCCTCCTTTTATGGACGTTGCGGTTGTGTGTGCATATCTCCCACTTTGATCTTGGTTATTAGGTTAGTACACCTGAGCCCACATCACCTCTCGTTGAGGAAACAGAAATCAAAACAAAAAAAAAAAACTCAGGAAAATATATCAAACTACTTTTTGGACCCCCGAATGCAAACTTACTTCCTGGGATATCCTTTCCAGAAAGAATGGTGCTCAATGTGTCCATTTCCTGACTCAACCTGCACTTTGTCCTGTGGAGGAGCAAAGGCCCAATACTGGTCTAAATCCCCTGTGCTCCATGCACCGCAAGCAATACCCTCACCACCTTCAAGTTTTAAGGGACTGCAACTAATTATCTTTAATTATGGAGTTGAATCTACAAGATCCAAGTTTTTTGATAATACATTTAGATTTTGTCTAAAAAAAAAATAGACCCTTTTATAATCCCACAAAAGCAGGTCCTGTACTACAACTGAAAAAATCCAATCCACTTTGACAAATGCTCTAACCAGCCAAGTGTTTGGCCTTTTTGCCTTTAAAAACTGAACTGAAATAATGAATCATTCATTAATTCCACAACCCAATTTTATCCGACGTAATTTGCTCAAGCTTTCAAAATTCATTCACTCGGGACAACTCTTTTCACAGCGAGTTCAAAATCTTTAACTTCTCTATACCAGGCAACCCGAACATCCATACACACATCGATCTCAAAAGACTCTCTTTTCATATAGCGCAGCTCAACCATCCTCCCTTTGAGTATATGAAGAACAATTCCCCACCATGAACAACCAGCAAGCAACTTGGCCACACTGGAAGGAAAAAACGTCCTTAATTTTTTACAGAAGGCACGAAAACCCTCCGGAGCCGAACCCCGGCTCTAGGGCTGGGGTATGATATCCAGAGACCTTCAAACACTCGCTGACTGGGATGACCTAGCTGGCTTCTTCCACATCTGGCGCCCCAGCGCCCGTCGTTGATCCCCCGCGTCGTCTTTTTCCTGAAAGAACGTCTGAAGCTCGTGTTCAGCTGTTTCCGCTCAGACCTCTCCAAACTCTCTCCCTGCAGAAACCGGACAGAGGCATGTAAGGAACTGCTAAACCCAAAAGAAGGGGTAGAACTAGAAGCAGTACTGGCCATTCCATACACAGGACCACTGACACATCACCTAAGACAATGAGTCTACTGTAACTGAGTCAGTGATCTGGCTCTGTGGCCTGCTTGTGACTGGGCCGTGGACCGGCGCCAGCTGTTCCGTACTCAGGCATCGTCCAGTTCCTGCTCTCAATACACCACGCTTTCGTCTTGTCCTCTGCATGTCCAGACAGCCTCTGCCCACGCCTCTCCCTCCCAATGCCTGAGCCACATCCTGGGGGGACTGGAGGACAAGTGAGAAAGAGAAACAAGGACATAAGGGAAAAGTAAGAAAGAACAAGAAAGAAGACTATGATTGGATGGGTCGACAACGTGGGCCTGGACTGTCAAATCTGGCAAAACCTGCCTGACAATTAGACCCAAGCCCAAAAAAATAGGCAGGGCCAGGCGGACCACTCGAGCTGGATACATGCAGTCAGAACTACCTGATTCAACACTGCTCCGAGCTTACCGCACTTTTAAAAAATCTGCCGTCAACATATCGCGTTTTCTTTTTTGGTTTTCTATGTGTCGACTCAAGAAAGAAGCGTCGCCTGCTTCATCCTTTCACCCCGTCTCAGTTTCTCAGGCTTGGGTGCCTGTTTGAATCGTACGCAGACAAACTCTTCCGCCCAACCTC